AAAAAAAGACAAAACATTTGAATATTAGTAAGATAGACTACAACCTATTATTTTAATGTTACTTTCTGGCTGGGAAGCCCATATAGTGAGAAACCATGACCTTGGAAGGTCTTGGAAATGCTGCCCAAGGCTGCAAGCCAAGGACAGCATTTTCAAGTCCAAGGTCGCAGTTTTTCACTTTACAGACTGACCCTAAGCTGGTAAATAACTTATTTATTTTTTCCTCTCTCTCAAATCTTTTTCTAATTGTTGACCTTTTCCACAACACAATGTGCCTATGCGTTACCGTTAAACCATGGTCAGAGATAGGAAAATCTGAACTGCCCTAAGAAACAATCAGATTGGAGGATTTGTTACTGAAATGAGTGACAACATGAGAGTAAACATGTGTGTGTTACCTAGCAACACAACAAACTGTCACACTGTCACACTTTGACCTCAGCCAGGGATCAAACAAGGATGACTTGACCTGGAAGAGGTGCACTGAGAGCCAGCCGATCACCTTCCCTCTGACATTATATTGCACATTATTATATTATACTTTTTTTATACACAAACAAATATCTCAAACACATGACTTGTATATGATTGTCAAAATATGTTGTTACTAACATTTCTCTGCCAAGTGTACAAAATTGAAGTTAAGTACCAACTAACTCGAAAGATTTTAAAAGAAATGTGGACACTACATGACCTCAAGATAAAATAAGCGTGAACACATACCAGCCACAGTTGCGTACGAAAAAGGTCCACGGATGGCCAAAACATACAGGACCTCTAAATACTTTTCTTGAAAAGATGATTCACCCATCCACTGAAAGATGATCAACCTGTTAAAATAAGTGGTGAGTGTGTGAATTTTATTAAATGCAGATCAGAATTTACATGTGGTAACTGATGAATGGATGGGGAAATATATACATTGCATTGGATACAAAAGGTAATTAAGTCAATTTTTAATTAATTAATATGTATTTTATAACAATGATTTTCTCAGAATTAAATTGAAAATGTTTTTTCCAGGGAATATTTTTACACACCATACACTAAGTTCTTGAATTATTTACAAACAAGCAATCTGAAAGATACTTTAGTCTTAAAATTAATCAACGTTGTCAGGGTTTGAAAAGAACTTGAATTCCAGCTTGCCCTTGGGACAAGCAGCTCTCAAATTTTGCTTGCCCTTAGCAAGTCTTAGTTTGCTCTTCTAGTAGTTTAGTTGACACAAGATTTGCCTGATCCCTGGGAATGAAATGTTACATGTACTTGCCAAGAAGGAAAATCTACTTGTCCCAAATGTCCAGATGGCACTGTGCCCTGCTGTTGTATTGTTCAATTAAACATAAGCTTAAAGTCTTGTATACACCAAAAATTAAGTACCCAGTATCCAGAGTTCTTGTTATGAGAGAAATGAGGCAGCCAACTTTGTTGTGATCCTTTAACAGAACTCCTGTAGTGCAGTATGAACCGTTAAGGAAATAAATAAGCAATACAAAACTATTTTGCCCACAAGTATATATCTCAAAGGCAAACTTTGGAGAGTAACGCTATAAACCTTGGCCTTATATTTACTCTTTCTCTTTGCTTTTTTTGGGTTCTTTCTCTCCTTCTTACTTTGCTGGTTTTTGGATGGAGAAAAAGAGGGGGATGGCCTTATTATTTAAAACTGTATCAGGTCAAAAAATGTTCCTGATCCCTAAAGTAAAGAAAAAGTACTAACCGACTCAATAATATTTAATGAAAATAATTTTCATTTAATTCCCAGTCCTGCATTCATGCATAAATAAATCATCATAAAAGTGGACAGCCTTCAATTACAAAGCTACTTACATGTAACAAATAGATTCCATGTTGTTCAGTAATACTGTAGATCACAGATGATGTCATTATAAACAACTAGGTAAGAACAGAATGGCTTGGAGGCGACAGCTGAGTGTATCACTGCTGTTCTTACCACATTTTAATAACCTTCTGTGATCTATTAGTGAAAAGAAGCAAGGCAACATGGAATCTACTTGACCTGGTTTTATAATAATACCCAGAAACAAAAAACAAAGGTTAATGGCCTTGTCTATGTGTCAGTCCACCAATAGATCATAAGTAAGAACCAATCAACATGTGAGAATAATTTGACTTATCATATAAAAACCAATACTTCATGAAAATTTAACAATTTGGCATTGAGCCCTGTATATGGTATTAAATAAATAATTTATTTAACTGAAGAATTTGCAACATATTAATTATAGATGTCTCCCTTCTGTTCACTCACTACGGGAATATATATTAAAATGTCTTTTACAGGAAAAACAGAGACAAAAAATAACTCAATATCAGTATCCACAGGCTGTCGTACTTTATTATATATTATAAATTATAAATTGGTCAGAAATGACAAACAGGAACAAAATTAGACACTAAAAGTTTTGAATTGATCTGAGTAGCTGCGCATCTTGCAATAATTGTGCGCAAATTTCAGCTGTGTTTTTCATGGTATCATCTGATATGCCAACAATCGTTTCCCTGTCAAATCTCGCTT